TGAATTTAGTGGGGGAGACACGATGGAGCTAATAACAATGTATCTAAGAGATGCAAGATAGTAGGGAATTACTACACCAGACCAGAAGCTGGAAAGCCAGGATCCAGGGAGGTAATCCAACTTAGAAGCAGCTTTTGCCCTGAGGGCATTTACCTAGCTGGAAAATGATAACCCTCCTTTCGAACATCAAAGAAGAAGAAAATAAATAAAACAAAGTGAATGAGGAGAGAAATAGAAGACCCTCTTTACAATAAGTAGGAGGCCAAAATACTGCACCCTCAGGGTGAGTATGAATTGGAAATGCAACAGCTTTAGAGGACTTTACAAAGTTGGGATCAAATTGCCTGTCTCAAGTCATGATCTTGGTTTAAGGTTGTCTCTGACTATGCTGCCACCAGATGCCTGGCAAAAGCAAATATAAATCTTCTTCGGAGAAAAGCATTATTATTGTAGGCCCCAAATTCTTCCTACATGTAAGTTTTCATAGACAATGTTAAGTATGGAATTAAAGATAACCAGGTAAACAAGGAAACCAGACTCTTTTAGTGAGAACCAGCAGAAACACAACAGAAATAGGCCTGCAGAAACAACTGCTTTTGGAATGATCAGATGCAAACTGTAAAATAATATTTTCTTTGTTCAAAGAAATAAAAGATAACTTGGACAATTTTGGCAAGTACCTGGAAACTATAAAAAGTGATAGAGGCCAGGCACAGTAGCTCATGCCTATGATCCTAGCAGTTTGGGAGGCTGAGGCAGGAGGATGACTTGAGGTCAGGAGTTTGAGACCAGCCTCAGCAAGAGTGAGACCCTGTCTCTACTAAAAATAGAAAAATTAGACGGACTTTGTGGCATGTGCTTATAGTCCCAGCTACTTGGGAGGCTGAGACAGGAGGACTGCTTGAACCCAGAAGTGTGAGGTTGCAGTAAGCTGTCATGACACCACTGCACTCTAGCCCAGGGAATATAGTGCGACTCTGTCTCCAAAAAACAAAACAAAACAAAACAAAAACAAAAAATGTGATGGAGCAGATGTAAAAAAGAACTAAATAGACTTCTGTGTGTGCAAAATACGGTAACAAAATTAAGAACTCAGTGAATGGGTATAATGGCAGATTAGACATTGCTGAATAGAGAATAAATGAAAAAGAAGGTAGGTCAGAAGAAATTATCTAGAATGAAGTATTAGGAAATGAAAAGATGGAATATACAGAAGAGAGGATAAGAGACATAGAGAAAACTGGGAGAAGATCTAATACAAGTTTAAGAGGAGAGACGCTAGGGCAGATATAATGGCTAAATATTTTTCAGTACCCATGAAAGCAACCAGATCACAGATATAAGAAGCCAAATAATTCTCTAGCGGGATGAATAAAAGAAATTCACACCTAGATACATCATAGTGAAACTGCAAAACACTAAAGGCAAAGAGAAAAATCTTAAAGGTGGCTGTAGTGGTTTATAAATATGCCCACTACTCCCTTCAGTAGGTAGAGACTCCTCTTGAATGTGACAGACTCATTTCTCAAGAATAGAATGTGGTAGAAGTGATAGTGTTTGATTTCAAGAGCTAAGTCATAAAAGACATTGCCACTTCTGCCTAGCACATTCTTTGATTGCTTTTTCTGGAGAAAGCCAGCTGAGTAACCAGCAACAACCTGCC